TTAAACTCATCCGAGCTGTTCAAGCTGCCACCTTTCACCAGCCTGAAATTTTAGAGTATTTTTGAAAAAAAAATGTCAACAACATGAGCTGCTATACTGGCCTGATGGCTGGTTCCAGCTCCACTCTCACTCAGAGGGATTGTTGACTCTCTTGGTACACAGACCCGTGAGTAAATATTAGTTCAGACACGGATAGCTCGTGGGCAGGAGGACGCAGCTCAGATAAACAGGCTGGCAAAAGGACAGGCTGGCAAAAGGGTTGCCAGGGCTGGACCTCCCCTGTCCCTCCTGCAGCACCCCGAGAGCTGCCCGGGCTCCTAGCACAGCTCCAGGTGAGCTCCAGCCAGCAACTCCACTAAGGGCTGGATCCACAGGGATTACCCCCAGAATAAAGCAGCATGCAGCACAAACATACAGCCGGAAGAAATCCCACTTGGACAATTCTGCTGGTCAGAGGCCAGTCTCAGGTTTGCTCTCAGCTACGGCAAAGGGGCAAACTGATTCCCTTACTCACGACTCTCTACAGGACGAGTGTGGGATATAACTTATTGCAGGCTAAATAACCTTCCCTGCCCTGGAGGCTCGTTCATTTTATTTATGGGAAAATATGCTCGTTAATGCTCTTATCACAGGAATGATCTAATCGGGGGGGAAAAGTCTCCTTTGAATACATCCATTTTAATGAGCTGCTGGGCGAAATGTTTAGGCAGGCAAAACTGACTCTGAACTCGTTTCTGACAGAGCAGATTCTGCAGGTCTTAACGCTCATCCTGCTGGCATCTGTTTGTTTTGATAACATTTCCAAATGAAATTACGAGTTACAAAAGCTGAGCCGTACTGTGCACTTCCTCGTCCCTAAGGTTGACTGATCCAAGCACAACAGGGACTGAAGGAAAACAAGCCACGCCATCCAGCTCGCCTTCCCCACACAGAGGCTGTGAAAGTGGCCCATCCTGCAAAGAAACATCGGATTGTGCCGAACTCTTCTGTAAGAGAAAAGGGAAGCTCAGCAAGAAAAAAACAACCAAACAAACAACTACTAAATCCACCATGCAAAGGCTCCAGCAAGCAAGTGAGGAAAAGAGGTCAGCAGAGAAAGGAAATGTTCCTGAAAGAATTCCAGAAAGCTGCTGCACACCCAAATGGGATCGTAGAGGGGCTCGTTTTCGCAGGAGCCGGCTCTGCGAGGTGCTGTGCATCCATCCCACCGCTCTCTCCCGCGCTAACAGGAAGGAAGGTGCTCCATCTCCTCTCCGAGTTGAAGTCCCCTCTGTGACACGGCACCCTTTGCGAGAACTGGACCTCAATCATCTCTCATTAACCTGGGGAGGGGATGGAGATGGGAGCTTCGCCTGGCCCGCCGTAAACGAAACAGAAAATGGATTGTGGAAGGGGGGATGTTGCAATATCTTCCGCTTTCTTGTTTTGTAACTACCTCTGAATTCCTCATGACCATTTGTTCCGAACTGGCAGCAACACCCGGAGAAAAAGCAATACAAAAAAATCAAGCTTGTGGAACATTATTCTTAAATTACAGAACCATAACAACAAACTGCTCAAGCACATTTCTTTCCCCAGAAATGTTAAGGTGCCATCCTCTGACTTTATCTCTTGCTGTTGGCTAACCCACTCCCTGTCTGACTATGCTTCCCCGTCTCACTTCAAACTTCTCCCCTCACCCCCCACGTTATTTTTATATAGCAACCGAACAGCAATGCCTGCTAAGCTTGATCCTGCAAACTTAAAGAAAACAACTCAGCACTTATCAGGTGACCAGCACGACGTTGGATTACACCCCTAAATCAGAGAGCGAGACTTTAAAGCATTTTAAACATCTGTTACCTCATCTGCATTCAATACACAGTCCTCTTCATACCAGCTGTTTTTAAGTGAGAAAGCAGAGATCCAAAGTTTCTTTGGTAAGAAGCACAGACATTTGTTGGCCTGACGAACCGGTGACTGCTTTCTTCTCGTTCAATATCTCACAAAGATCTTGGAAAATAAATTCTTCCCTGTGCTGCTAAACATCTAAGAATTCCGGCTTAATTTGGCAGTGGCATGCACAATCTCCTTCCAGCACAAGTGGGTCTTTAGAAAACCTGACCTTCAAATCAAATCATTCTCGCACGGATGACAATGAAAATGAGGAGAGTTTTCCAGCCAGAAAAAAAAGTGTTCTAATTACCTGCCCCACAAAGATCAGAATAGATTTTAACACACCAAATAGCGTTTTTAGTGGGGGAGTGTTTAAAATTAGATAACTGGTAGTTAACTGTTACCTGTAAGGAAATGAACCACAAGTTCTAACGAAGGAGATGAGTAGATTTAAGAGCCCTGCTCTATAAGGCTTACAAGGTCTTAGAAATAAGTTTAGAAATAAGACTGTCCACTGTTTCCATAAAGACCTCACAGCCTTTTGCTGTACTTCATCTCCAGACAGAAGTAGACAGAGTTGACCAAGATTTAAATTATTCTGGGGCTAAAACCAGCTAATTACAGGGTGGAGAAGTCATCACACACGACGATTTCTGTGAAAACAGAACCTGGTGGACATCTCTGCCTTGGTTTCTATCCTGTTTTGGTACTTGGCTACATCTCTAGACAAAACTGTAAGAACAAGTAGAGTCTTCCTGGATTGGAAATACAGAGAAAAGGCAATCAGAACGACTTGGTTTTATAGTCCGGCTCAATTAATTTATTTTTCTTTAAACCATTTTTGGGGGAGTTACTGAGTGTGTGATGCTATGTAAGGACTGCACATTCTTTAAAAGAGAGCTCATGTTTTTCTTTCTGTTGTACTTCCCTAGTCAGCAAATCAGAGATAGATTAATTCCCATGATGCTGCTAAATATCATAAACATCTATTTCCACATTCAAGAAGAGCAATGATGCGGCTAAGCAGAAAATATACAGGGGTTTCTGCTATATGTCTTTTTTTTTTTTTTTTAATTTTTTTTCCCATTCACCTTCACTGGAGCTTTGTTACTCCTCTAGAACACGGACGCAGGAGCTGCTTCAAGGAAGCCTGAAGCGGCCAACTCTCCGATAGCCTCCTCAGAGGCAGAGAAACACACAGAAGCTCTAATATTTGCAGCTGTGTTATTTAGCTATGTTTGAATCACCTAAACAGCAGAACAGCTCATCCTTCCTTCTCTACATAAAAGATGTGGTACAACTATGGTATCAACAGGCAGAATTTCAGAACCAGCAACTCCTGTGAGCGTTTCAGGTCCCGTACATCTTTCTAAGCATTAGTTTCGTGTCATCTGATCACAAACACTTGCAAACCTGAAGACAGACAATGAAGGGGAAAGACATTCAGTTACTTATCCTGCCCGTTTCTTGCTCTAACATCTACTTACATCAGCTACCAGTTTTGAATTTGACTTTAACTTATTCCCGTGCTGCCATAAACCCTTCTTCCAATCTATTATCTTTCAGAAAGTAAAAATTATACAAGCTTGACAAAAAATCATCAACTGGTGATTTTGACTAAAGTTTGAGACCTCTTATTAAAAGGGGCTGAAACAAGCTAAAAAAAGAAAAAAAAAATTCTACAAAATGAAACTCCTCGGCTTTCCTCGGCCTGAAACAATTGAAACTTGGATTCCTAATGTGGAGTGCAGCTGTGTTGCTTCTCCTGTACTTTCTCTGCTAACAGGTCTGGTTATTGAGTAACTCAGACTGTACAAGATACTTTCCCAGGTCGTTTCAAACAGCCTAATTGCTGTGACCTGCTTGTATAAGAACACAGAACAACTGGGACTCGCTGCACGCTCTCCTCTGAGGAGTTCTGTAAGCAGTTCAGGAGAGAATTGGTATGAGCTCCCGGCTGCAGCTCCTGCTTTGGGGACTAAGCCTGTTTTTTGAAAGATGTTTATTGGAGATGGGAAGGCTGTGGTAGTTGCGAGCCAGCCGAACGAGGGGGCCTTTGATAGTGTATTTCTGGATACCAGCATAGGACTTGGGATTAACTAGAGCCTCAGGATTCGATGGACGAGATTCTCTATTTGGAATTGTCTGTCCTGCCTCTGTGTTGAAAGCAGCTGTGCCATAGCAGTCGTAGGCAAGTGGGAGTGGTTGCCCACACATCAGCTGTTAGGGTCCACTGCCCAGTGTCTTAGATAACAGCAGGGACAGAGATGGGTTGGGACTACGGCGCTAAACTAGGAATGAAGCTGGAGCAACTGAGACACCGACACAGGCGCTTCTGCCTACTCTGCCATGGGTAGGGCAGTCATGGCAAACCAGTGGTAAAAAACAACTGGAGACGGCAACATCTCAAACTGCCTCAGCTGGTAATCCTGGAATTGCGAGTCAGAGGCTTCTCTCCGAGGATTTATGAATCACTGTCACTGCTAAACTGGAAGTCAGGCTATCTCAGCAAAACTGCAGCTGGAACTAATCCCACACGATATTTAACGCACAAAACCAAAACAGGCTGTTGGGCTTTTTACAGACTACAGAGCACCACGGCGTTATCCAGGTCACTCAACTGTAAAATGGAATGATGGCCCATTGAGATGACAGGTATCCAAAGGGCAAAGCTCTTTCCACTGCCACAGGAAAGAGGAAAGCAGCTGCACAGATGATGTCCTCCGACACAGTGCCGTGATAAGGAATTACAGCTGGATTACTACATAAATAATAAATGCCATTATTAGAAATAATGAAAAAGGCAGTCCTTCCATCATCTAACAAATTCATTCCCCCATCAGGAAAACCTTTCCAAAACAACACACAAGACACGAATTGCTAAATCTTCTCTGATGTGCTTCATTTAGTCTGGGTATTCCTGAATCGCAGCTATCCCATTGTTTCAAGTTGGTCTCTGGGTGATGCATCAAATGGCAGACGGCTTCCCCTCCCCATAAATCAGCAGCCAAATCTCGAGAGCGAGGCGAAAGCAAGCCCTGATCTCTCAGTGACGCTGTGTTCTGGGAGCTGAGTGCAGATACCTGCAGCAGGAAAAGGATTTTTGTCTTGTACCTCTTACTTACCATGACTCCCAGACAAGTCACTGGCTGCTGGCCAGGCCAGGCTTCTCATCTAAGCTGTAGGAGAACAGACAGTGTTTTCTTTTGGCAATACACTTTGTTCCATCATAGTCAACCAGAGCAGTTTCAGGACACAGAAGGCGGGTGAGGATTTAGACACTTATCCTCGCGCAAAGCAGAGCCAATCAATGGACTATCCATGTGCTCAGAGCTCCTGGATGGAAACATTTTAAAGCAAGTAAAAATAAGCAAGACAGGAAAAAAAAAAAAATGCCCAAAGGCAGCTATGGTACCTGAAGGCAATGAAATAGGCGCGCTGTAGCCCAGGTTGAATGAAGAAAAAAAGAAATGCAGCTATCTATATATATTTTTTTTTAGAAAACCAGGATTTTTAAAATAATTACAGTGTATCCTTAGTAGCTTTTGTTGGCTCTATAAACATCTCTTTCCACTTAATGCACGAGGCATACCTGACTTCAAACTCGACTCAGCATACATAATTTAAACCATTATTTTGAGCTTTTTTTCCACATAGGACAAGATCCGCTGTTCAGGATGGGCCCTAACTTCTGCAACGTGCTTCTGACGTGGTTTTCAGGCTGAAACGTTCAGAAACGGCTGAGTCAAAGATCTCCTGTCATGGAAATTATAACCTATTTAGATTTGCACACATTTGCTGCTTTAATTTTGAAGATTGGCCCCCACCCCCGAAGGGACATATCCGTGTTTTCACCAGTATAGTCCGAAAGAAAAGCGAGGCGTCTGATTTTCGAATTCCCATCCTTTCCTTCAGACTTTATTCTTTGCCATGGGGCTGCAGAAAGACCCAACCACATTCCCAAGCCTCGGATTTCCAAAATCCTCGCCGATGAAAAGCAGAGCGTTACCCTGGCGGGGGAGCGTTACCGGCCGGCTGTTTGTTACGGGGCTGGGGATGCAGAGACCAACTTTTCCTACGTAAATAACCATTTTATTCACTTCCGCATGAAGCTACAGCACAAACCCTTTTTCCGTTTAAAAGATTATCACGAGCCGTTCCCCATTCCCCAGTCAAGTCAAGCTGTCAGTAAATGAGCCCAAGAGGCCGGGGGGAAAGTGGGGGCACGGCCACAGCCCAAACCGCGCACCCCGAAACTGGGGTCACAGCTTCGGCCCGTCCCTTTAGGGGCCCTCTCCAGTACTTGGGGGATTTTTAAATTCTTTTTTAAATTAAAATTTCTCTCGGCATCGAGCTAACAAACACCGCGCGGCAGCTGGGAGGGCGGCGATGCCCCCTCCCGCGCCCACGAGGCCCCGCGGCGAGCGAGCAGGCCCGGGGCGGTGAAGCCCGGC